TGTTTAATGAACTTATGGAAGACAACAGTATCAACAAAACTTGCAAGGCCCTCCTCATACAGGTGAAGAGGTCTCTACCATACCCTAGACAGCGGTACCATGTACAGGGTCCAGCTGAGGGCAACAAAGGGCAAAGCCTACCTCATTGTCTGGTCCTAAGAGCAGCCCTGACCCATATTCCCCCAACCTCTGGGCCACCATGACCTAGGACCAATCTGGACAGAACAGGGAATCTACAGAAGAAATCCTAAAAGGAATAAACCCACCAAGACACCAACACACCGACATTCTCTCATGCCCCGTTCCCTGCTCTCCCACCTGCCAAGGCCTAAAACAGGGAGGACTCATCTGGGACTGCATATCCTTTGTTACTCTCCTAACAGCACAGCTTCCTCCTGCCCTTTCCAGTGCTACACTCCTCCCTGATCCAGGCTCTGCACACCTAGGCACACATTATCATTGAAAGGTTCATCTGACTGTCACAAGGAGACACTTGGCCTTGTGGAGTGTCATTGGGCACTCTCCATCCCATCTCAGGGTATGGCTTGTAAAACTACATATGAACAAATTCTGGCATTGCTCTACTAATGGGGGAGCCTCGTCAGAAACATGGGAGGAAGGTGTATGTGGTGCAGTGAGGGTACTGTGGGAGGTAGGAATGTTTTATGGGGAGTGCACATGTGCTATTGTTTGTATGTGGAGTATCCAGGAGGAAATCATGTTCCTGTACATGCTGGATCCAGATCAAGAAGGCACAGGATGAGAGAAACCACAGTAGGAGCTTGCCAGACATCAAGAGGCAAGGCTCAGGACAGAGGGCTGAGGTGGGGACACCTCTCTAGAACTATGGAAGAGTTCAGACCACAGCCAAGACCAGTCCATATCTAAATAAATTTACATATGCTGCCCTGCTTCTATGCCCAGGAGAAAATGCGGTCACAAAGAAGGAGCCACATACGGTCTTCAGTGAGATGGAGGACTAGCTAGGCTCAGTTTTCTAGGACTCAAGCTCTAAGACCACCTGTGATAGACTAAGTCAACCTCTTCAAGGGGTCCAACCTCTGTCCCGTAAAGAGAAGGCGTGCAGGAAGGCTGCTGGCACACACTCAAATCAGGCCTTGACCTATTCCTAGCTTGTACCAGAACCCTGCCTGTCAGCTTTCCTAGAGTGTTAGTCTCGAGCCACACAGGGCAGGTTCTCAGCAAAATTACTTCTGCCTCGCTACACTCCTACCAATTACTCCATAGCTCCCATTGCACATGTCACTATTGTCATGTCCAAATCTGATGGTTAAACAAAAAACCAGCATTCCTAAGGCACGTGTGGAGCTGGTTCCCCTTTACTAACACCATTTTCCCTTATCACTGGCAGAAGGGTTCCTAAGGCACGTGTGAAGCTGGTTCCCCTTTACTAACACCATTTTCCCTTATCACTGGCAGAAGGGACAATTGGCTATCTGTGGCACCTACTAGCATACTGAAGTGCATGCTGGCCTCCAGGCTCTCTCAGTATCACAAGAACCTGTTCTACATTTCAGAGTCCATGCCAGTATCCTGGTTGTTCTCACCTTTCCCTTACCCTAAACTTCTCCAGCTCATGGGCTTCCCTCCCTGCTTCTCACTTCTCCTTATAGCTCTGCTATTTCTCTTTTGTCTTCTGCTCTTAGTCCTCTATTACTCCTCTCTTTTGATCTCTCTTTGTCTTCCTTTGTTGCCCACCCTCTTCACCTGTCCAGCCTCTCTTTCTCTCTCTCTCTCTCTCTCTCCATCACACACACCCATGCTTGATCATACTCAAATGCATACAGTTCATACACAGGCACATGCAGCTCACATATATATAATTTCGCACTCTTAAACAGTTGAAAACAAATACCAATTCACCTCACCAGATCAAGCATCAGGAAAAGGGGGCTTAAGGGGGCTCAAGCACCACCTAGTTCATCTCACAGTTGGAGCTCCAGAACTCAGTCCTATTCAGGTTCCTCAGCACCATCACAGTCAACACCAGTGTGGTTCAGCCACTCAGAAGCTGTCTGGGAACTCAAGGCCAGATCAGTAGATAAGACTACTGGCCCTCATCTTAAAGAAACTCGGAGGAATCCATCATCCATCAGAAGTCCATGAGAGTCACCTTCTACCATGCCAGCAAGGCCCATTCTCCAGGAAACACCAGGTTTGACTCTCCACTATTAAGTTGAAAAACTAATGCATAGCCCATAAGGTCAGGATATCTTTTAATAGGTAAATGCCAACCAACAGGAAGACAGAGCGTGCCAAAGCATCAAGGAAAGAGAGCTACCATGTGCCTTGTCTGTCCCTTTAAACCTCTCACACGTCACCCTGACATCACCTTGACCACACCCTGACAGGCGTGGTCAGGCACACCTGTAGCCAGCCCTTAGGTTACGGTGTCTCCCTGCACTCCACCATGATCCTGTATGAGTCAACCACAGCAGGATATTATAAGAATCCATTGTTCACCATCACTTCAAGAGGTCCTACAGTTATTAGATTGTGGATGCTGACACACATGTGTTCCATCCAAGAGAAGATACCAGGAAACACATGTCCCAGGGAAGGTGTGGCTATGGAGGGGGGATTTGATTGTGGGTGTTCACAGAATATTTCGTAGGCTAGAAAAAGTCAGACAGTGTGGTGATCAGGGTAGCAGGTTATAGATGGAGGAGGACATGAAATGTAATCATGGGTTGGTTTGTGTAGTGTGCATATAATAGATTTTCCTATACTATCCAGCTATGTGAATTCTATTCCCATAGAACTGTGTTTACTCCCCTGGAAGGAATGTCTCTGCCTGCCCAAGGATGCTTTGGGCAAGATGTTTCTCTACCCTCCCGAAGGCCCCCAACCCATTGTCAGCAATGCAGTTTGGCATGCTCAAGGGCATTGTATAAACAGTCCCCATTCGCCCATGAGACCTGTGTCCAGGGAACGACTGGTAAAAGTAACAAGAAATACTCTGTCTGTTTTTATTACTTATGTTGTTATAGACTTAATATCCTTTCTCAGTGAGAAATCATTCTGCACACTTAGAGATAATAAGCGGTGGTAGAGAGAAACTGCAAAACTAGACTGGGTGGAAAGAAAGGGTTAATGGAAATCAAACTGCCAAGGCGATAGTGAGGGTGGGAGGATGAGGGAGAGAGAAGAGCAAAATGGCAGATTTTCTATGACAGTCAGTAGGGTGGGGAGCTGAGCTGATACGGGCTGCCCAGATTGACTTGGAACTAGGTGCCCTTGCCTGAGGTAGGTGACCTTTGGGGGAGGGTTAAAGGAGTCCCTGGAGGATTAAGGGTAATTCCTGGAAAACAGATAGGAGACTGCAAGTCTGGACACTTGGGCAGATGGGAGATTTTCATAGAAAAGATACTGCCAGGATTATTTCCTAAGTACACCTGTGTTGTCCTTTTCCAGTACTTGTCACCCGGGTTCATCTTGCCCACCTAGCAGAATTATGAGTTCCTGATAATAGCTCAGGGGACTTAATGGCAGACAGGACCTAGTGGTGGTTGTGCCCCTGCCTGCCCCCCTTGAGCTGCCCTTAGAGGCATGTTCTTAGAAAAGGGGATAGGCCTAATGGCTGGTTGTAAGTCAGGGCTCTCTCTTTGTGTTATGGGGACAATTCCTAATTGGAGGTCAGTCTTGGAACATTAGCAGAAACTTTCTCAGCAACCCTAAACTTCAATTATGGTACAAGCGTTCTTTCCTACAGTTTCTATCAAGCCTGGTTAGTGTACTGTCAGCTACCAGTCGTATTGGAGGAAGCGCTGCTTTTGTTAAATTCTACTTTGTGTAACTTGGCATTTCCTAAGTGAGATAGTAGTAAATCCTCTCTCTCTAGCATCCATTTTACTACTCCAAGTTTCCCCCTCATCATCACTCTGACCCTGCTTTGAACTTCCTCTGAGCATTCTGGAATAAAGGCTGCACAGAATGCCAGTTAGTCTTCTCAGGCTGCACAGCCTGGAGTTCCCTGGCTTGGTTCAATCTCAAATTCAACTTCAATTCCTTGGCAGTGGTCACTGGCAGGTCGTGATAGGTTTGGTGAGAAAAGTGGCCCCAAGTTGGTCTGGCCACAGAGGTGGTGGCTGGATAAAGGTGATCAGTGTTTGTTTGTGGAGGTCTGAACAAGAATGGCCCCCATGGGCTCATAGATTCGATCACTTGGTCACCAGGATGTAGCACTAGTTAAACGTTTGGTCTTGTTGGAGGAAGTTTGTCACTGAGGGGGGGGCTTTGAGGTTTCAAAAAGCCCATTCCAAGCCCAGAGTCTCTCTCTCTCTCTTCCGGCTATCTACCTGCTGTAGAAATCTCAGCCACTTCTCCAGCACCATGTCTGCCTGCCTGCCACCATGCTTCCCGCCGTGATGGTGGACTGAACCTCTGAAACTATGAGCAAAGCCCAATTAAATGCTTTCTTTATGGGACTTGTTATGGTTGTGGTGTCTCTTCACAGCACTAAAACAGTGACTAAGAAGACATTGTGTATAAAAATATGGTCACAAAGGCTTTGGTCACAGAATTCACATTCCATGCAGTGTATGCTGGGAACAAGCCATGCCTGAAGTGGCAGGAAGATCGCCATCTATGCTTCATCAGGACATCTGTTTCTCAGAACTGTTATAAAACCTACTCACGGGAGTGAAGTTTAAGATCAGGCAGTGCCTGTGGCTCAGAAGAGAACAAGTTTTATGGTTGAATGTGATAACAGTTCTAGGGAGAATAGACAATTAGTTCTAAGTTGAAAGAAGTTTAATGACATCCGTTTGGTAAATTCTGAGGATGATAGGGGTCATCACAGTTTTCCATTTCAGCTTCAGCATCAACACCAGCATTCAGCCAGCAAACAGTCCCATCTATATTTGAAGAGAGAGACACCCATTTGGTCCTCAGGGATTCTAAGTAGTGGGCCACAGTAGGACCCTTTATGAGAAAGTGTGCACTGGAACTCAGGGAACAGAGGTACACGCCAGTCAGGCTCAGTGGTACCCAGCCTCCATGTCCTCCCCAGGGCTGTCCTCGGGTTCTTCTGCATCATCATAATCGTCATCCTGCACCCGGCTCCAGGATGCTTCTGGCTCCTCTGCTCTTCCCTCCATAGGGACTGTTTCAATGTATTCATAGACTGCCTCTGAGGCCAGCTGCCCCATCGTTCCAGAACCTGCAGAGATCACACCAGAACCTTCCAAAACAAGCACAGATAAAGCCTCAGCACCCTCTCTGGTTCCTGTGGCTCAGCTCTCATGCGTGCTGAGAACCAACATACAGGGAAAAGCCCCTGACTGCAGGTGCTCTCAGTGGGACCCCCCCACTGCTCAGAATACACAATGCTCAAAGGTCTGGTGTATGGCTCGTGAGTCTAATGTCTACATCTCATCTGTGAAGGATCTCACTAAGGACAGAACAAGTGATCGTGTGAGATGCAATGGAGCCCATTGTGTATGTGCAGAATGTCTTCAGCACAGTGTCCAAATCCAGAATTCTCCAGACCATAATTACTCAGGGATCTCCAGATACTAACTCAACATTGGCTTTCCTGGAGACTTGCCAGCATTCAAGACAATAATCAGAGCAGAGAGGACCTCTGGTGGATGGAGTCTCACAAAGCTTCCCCCCAGACTTCTGTTACACTGCCTTAGTGACACATAACCAGAATGTCCCTTACCCATGCTGATGACTTTGCTGTGGCACCACTGAGCAGCCAGGACCAGAAGGACTAGGCCCAGGAGGCAGCCAAGGACCAGGCAGGCAATCTCAGACAGAGTCCAGATCTCAGGGACAGGTGGAGGAGCCAGAGAATTGCCTGTGGAGCACAGAAACAGGCAGTGAGGCAGTGAGTGTGCCTACCATGTACCTGGACTGCCTGGGACAGGCTGCTGCTGGGCCTGGATGACATCGCCCTCCCCATGAGCAACCCAGGACAGCTTGTCATCAGTGTCACATTGACATGTGAGATGGTCTGTGTTAACAGGGCAAGATGTCCCAGGAAAGATGACCCAAGTGCCCAGGCCCAGGTTGAAGGAGGGAGAAAGTCCATGTGGGGTCATTGTCTTCCCCTCTGCTCTGTTCTAGATGTGCTATCCAATAGGACACAGCATACTGAGACAAAATCACATAGTCTGCAAGTTAACAGCTCCTAGAAGTGGCTGCTTATGACCCAGGAGTTTGGACCCCCATATTTTCCCATCCAGCAGACACAGTAGAGATGAGAAATTTCCATCACAGACTGGGAGTCCATCACCACAGGCTTACAGCTAATACAAAGCATGTGCCCATGGCATGTGGTCTCAGAGGTTCTCAAGAAAGGTCAGAAAAGAGTGTCCCTGCAGGATGTCCAGGTAACAATGGATGAGAGGAGGGAAGGATTAACCAAGAGCCACTTACCTGATGCCACGGTTCCAGGGATACCTGCAAAAGAAAGGAAGATTGGGGGAGTATCAACTGCCCTCAACAGCACAAGTGACCCATACTTTGCAGGTGGCAGCCACTAGGTCAGCACGAGCTATACAGGGATGAGATTGACAACCTGTCTCTGGAGCACCAATGGAACCCTAAATGTGCTCAAGGATTTGTCTGAGCAGAACAAGAGGGGAGGGGTAGCGGGAAAAATCAATCTGGTATTCCTCTTTCCATCACTGTTTGCTGCCTCACTCACCCAGACAGTGTACACCGGCATCCTCCTTGTGGGAGCAGTCTCCATATCCCCATGGTTCTGCCTGGCAGGCTCCCAGGGACGCCTCACTGCCACGGCATCCCACTTCGTCTAGCCATATAGGCCCTGAACCGGGGCCAAAGGCAGCATTATGCAAAGCAGCTATGGCTGGCCCACAGCCCAGCTGCTGGCATACAACTTCTGCATCTGCCAGGTCCCAGGAGTCATCGCACACTGTGCCCCATGACCCTCCGTGCCAGAACTCCACTCGTCCAGAGCAGCCATCCTCACCCCCAAACACACGAAGTGCACCTTCCTCTGGAAAGGAGTCAGCAATCAGTGCGTGATGCTTTCTGGCTGATGGGTTCTTAGGAGACTTGTGGAGGGAGAATTACCTGGGCAGCTAAGAGTTGACGAGCAGTTGGTAATCTGCTCCATATCCCAAGAAGCTTCTGTCTTTTCTGTGTGGAAATTAAGAATCATACCAGTGTCACAAGCTCAGGAACCTAAAATCTAAGAAATGCTTTCTACCCCTATGCTGCCTCCCCATAACTAGAAGAAGGAAAAGTTCTAGGTTTCAAAGCCTGAGAATTTCACACACTGTTCCCTTGTGAAACGTCTTTAAGAGAAGCAGGAAGCAATGGGAGCCTGAGGTGACTCCATATGGTCCACACTCCAACCAGAACCCCAGTGACACCCTCAGAAACCCACAACACAGCTCACCTGTACACACCAGCCAAGCCTCCTCTCCACTGAGGCAAGAATGCCTGTTCCAGGGTTCTGAAGGGCATTGCCACAGGGACCTATCATGCTTGTCCCTGCACTGAATGGACTTCAACCAGACAGTCTCAAGTGGAGTTGAGCTCCTTGGCCTGGCCAGCAGTTGCCCTTGGGACCCACAGCCCAGTTGTCCACACAGAACCCTCAGGGAAGCAGCACTCAGGGACTGGCAGACACCACCCCATGTCCCATTGTAGAAAACTTCCAGGCGTCCTGTGCATGGCTGGCTGTGTTCCTGAAGCCTTATGTCAGTGAATTCTGCAGACAGAGAGCCCAATCAGCCAGGCGGAGTTGGGGAGGACTGGACCGTCAAACTGGATCTGTAGCACCCACCTGAACAGACCACTCCTGCATCCTCCTTGTGCCCACAGTCTTGTTGGCCCCAGCTTTCTGACTGGCACTCCCAAAGAGCAGCCTCATGGCCCAGGCAGCCCAGTTCATCCATCCAGATGTGCCCAGTTCCTGCTCCAAAATAGGCAGCCCCGGGGGCACTGAGGGCATAGCCACAGCCCAGCTGTCTGCAGACCACGTGGGCATCCCGTAGATCCCAGGCATCATCACATACGGTGCCCCATGTACCCTGATAGAACACTTCTACACGCCCAGCACAGCGCCCATTACCCTCTACCAGCCGTATATGCAAGCTCCCTGCAGAGAGGAGAGACCCAGTCAGGGCACACTGGACTACATGAGCAAGACAGGGGGCCAGGACGGGGCACGGAGGTGGGGGGGGTGGCGGAGTTGAATAACTCACCTGAGCATACCACGCCTGCATCCTGCAAAGTCCCCACAGGCACCAGCTGAGACACAGACACATTGCACTGGGCCAGGTGGGTCTCAGAGCCCAAGCAGCGCACCAGACTCAGCCCCACAGGGACTGTCTTGTGGCCTGGTGCTGGAGCATCATAGGCTCCAAGGCCCTCTCCGCATCCGAGCTGCCTGCATACCACAGCAGCATCACGCAGGTCCCAGGCACTGTCCAGCACACGCCCCCACACACCATTCAGGAAGACCTCCACTCGGCCATCACAGGAGCTCTGTCCATCCCTCAGCCGCAGGGCATCCTGGAGACCTGACATAGAGAAACTATGAAGGGCAGAGGACCACCACTCTGAACAGCCTCGCAACTCTCGCCCTTCCAACCCTTTCACACCTCTGTCCGTCAGTCCTGCTTACCTTCTCCTTCACAGCCTCATGGCTGCCTGCACTCACCTGAGCAGATAACCGAGGCTGAATTTTCCAGGGTGCAAGCCTGGGCCCCTAGGGTGCTTGCTGGGCAGCTCAGCAAGTGTGGCTCTGTCCCCACACAATGAAACTCATCTGTCCAGAAGGGGCCGCTCACGTTTCCAAAGTGGCCTCCTTGGGGTGTAGCCACTGCATAGCCACAGTTGAGCTGGTGGCAGAGCACCGTGGCATCCGCTAAGTCCCAGCTGGCCGCACAGAGGGGCTGCCAGTCCTTTACTCGAAGCTCCACACGGCCCTCACAGCTGCTGCTGCCGTTAACCAGTCGGAACTCTAGGGAGAGTGGGAATCAATGCCACCTCCACAGCCCATGTACAGTGTGAGTCTCTTACGTACAGGACACACGCAAACTGGACACAAACAGACTAAGCAGGACAATATCTCTGTAGAGTGTTAGTACTGAAGGTAGGCTAGATAGCTCCAGTGTCCAGGCCCTACATAACTGTGTTAATTAAACACAGGTAATATTTTACAGAATACACTTCTTAAAAGAGAAATTGCACAAGATCTACACAGAGGAGAGCAGGCCTCATATCAAAGGCTGAGGACATGATTTTGGAAGATGATGACCCCATCCAAAGCCGTCTGCAGACACAATGCAGTCCCTATTAAACCCCAAGCAGATGCCTCGAAAGTTAGAAAGTAAATTCTAGTATTCCTGTAGAGATGAGGATTCCCAAAGACCCACAACCATGTGAGCAGCTAGACACTTTCTCATTTCAAAACTTACAGCAAAGCTACATGAACCAAAGCACAGTGAGAGGTGTGGCATGAGACTAGACATTGAGATCAATGGAATCAAACTGAAGGTTCAGAAATCATCCCACATACATATGGTCTGTAAGGTTCTGAATAGGGGGTTGCTTCTACTCATGTAGGAAGAATAATGTCTCAAAGTGCTGGAGAAACAGGGTATCCACATAAGTTACATGGAATCAGCACCCCATACACAATAAACAAATGTGAACTTGAGACCCAGCATAGTCCTGGACATGGTGCTGAAGGACAGTTGTTTTAACATAAAGCAGGAGGTGATGCTGCAGGGCATTGGACTTGGAAAGTCAAGCTTTAGATGCAACACCAAAACACAGGCACAAGGCAGAAAACTGATTGGAATGAAGCAAAGTTGAACTATGTATACAAAAAGACCCCATGACAAGGGGAAGCTGTGAGTCGTGTGCTAACAAAGTCTGCCACACAGAATATGCCAAACCATCAATAATATCCCCCCAAAAAACTAGACCCTATTCTGAAATCTGTGACAGAGTTAAGCAGTCATTTCCCCAAAGGTAGAAAAGGAAAGCAAACATGTGAGTGGAGAGAAACAAGATAGAGATCATGGAACTTCTAGGACAGCCGTCTCAGGCCCTGAACACCCCCTCCCCAAGCTCCATCCATGGTCATCACAGCACATCACTCAGATTATTGATCCACTGACACAACACGACAGCCTTCTAGGCTGTGACCTGACTCACTTTCCCCTGAGCAGGTGAGTGCAGCATCTTCATCATGGCCGCATTGGTGTCCAGGCTCCCTCAAACAGTGGAACAGCAGTGATTCATTGCCCACACAGCGAAAGGCCTCTGTCCACACAGGCCCCGATCCATAGCCAAAGTGGGAACTGCCGAGTATGGACACAGCGGTGCCACACCCCAACTCCCGACAAACCACGTGGGCTGTGGGCAGGTCCAGGTCATCGTAGCAGACGGTGCCCCAGGTAAGGCCTCGAAGAACCTCCAGGCGTCCTTCACAGGGGTGTGTACCACCCAGCAGCCGGGCCTCCACGTGACCTGAAGACAGACACTGGGTGAAGCAACTGAGGTCAAGGCAGGCTTCTTGCAGGTCACTGGAGTGAAGTGACCCAATGACTGCCAACCAGTCCCCCGGTGAGGAATGGTACAGAAGGACAGGGACAACCTGCATAGTGGCCCACAACGTAAGTTCTGAGATCTATAGATGAAGGATATTGAAGTTTCTCTTCCTACCTCACTTGGGAATTGGAACCCACACAGATTCTGAACATAAGTATTCTCCTGGTATTTCTTGCTTCTAGAGAGACATAGGCCCCCATGTTGTCACCCATGGGCAAATGGTCACTACCCCAACAGCTCCTCAAGCCCAGAGTACAGACTAGACATGAGCCATGGGCAGAGCATCCAGTGCAATGACAATATCCAAAGACACCCCAGAGCCACCCTGAATCACTTCTCAGAACAATGGTGACAAACACTTCAAGGGAGAGAATTCTATTGACTTTATGTTTGGAGGCAGATAGATGGATCTCCTTTGTTTTTCTCAAGATACCCAACATCTAGACTAAAATGCTCAGGGTGGGGAATCCCTGCTTCTGCACAGTACTTGTTGTATTGGTTGGCAGGTAACACTTTGGAAGTTCACATTGAACTTGCACTGCACGGTATCAGATTTTGTTCCCAAGCAGCGCAAGAATATCTGTTTCTGCCTTCCAATGCCTGTGCCATGGTGGGCCCTGGACTGTGGCATAGCAGTTCCACATTCTAGCTGTTTGCACAGAACATATGCCTCCTCCTTATGAAAGTGACCCTTTAGAACTGAGTCATGTGTGACTCTTGTATCTGGGGACACAGCACAGGGACTGACCCTTCCAACCACCCAGACAGGTACCATCTGATCACACAGAAGGAAAAGCAAATCCTGACTGTCTCTGACTCAGGCACATGCTCAGGGTCGGCTACTAACTTACCCAGCCTGATAAAACATGCACAGGGCCACCAGTGTCATCAACACTCTTTCTGTGTCCCTAGAGGTAATACAGTCACCCCCACCCAGGACTGGATATGTCTTGGTCTGAGCAGGGAGAGCAATGGCCAGGGGGGCCTGGGTCATGATATTGATTCAAGCACCCATTTGGTTAATTCTCCTTAACCACTGGTAAACACTGTGAAGAGTGACATCATAGAAACCCCAGAGTGTTCCCTGAGGTTCTCTGAGAATAAGAAGATGCAGAGTTTGATGGCAGACTTTAGAAACTGTGAAGTTACTGAGAATGGATTCAGTGAAGATGAGAATGAGATAGGCACTGCTTTGTGACAGGGAAGGAAAACCCTGACCTTGTCTCTCATCAAGAGCTTCCAAGGGGATGAGATGCTCATGCCTGGCCAGACCTCCCCGCAACACATGGATATTTGCCTCAGTGGCCTTGGTATCAAGACAAAGAAGGGAGTTCCAGGGAATAAGGAGCTCATAGTCTCCTTTCAGTCCATCTGAACACTTCACAACCACCACACATCTATTGCCAGGCTCCCAGGCCCCCAGGAAGTACTCCCAAAGAGCGACCACTTGACTATGGCACTGGATATCATACAGCCAAGATATCTCCATCTTATCAGGTCTCAGAATATTCTGGAAGGCATGATGCAAGGACCACAGACAAGTTGTCTACAAGTCACTGAAGCCTACTGCAGGCTCCATTGGTCTCCACATATAAAAACCTGCTGTCCATCACACTTAACTTGAAGGTGGCTCTCATACTGGTTTGTAACATACAGGTGACTCAGGAAACATCCCCAGCTGGTCCTTCAGGGTCAAGGCACAGGACACAGGGAGAAGATACTGAGAATTTCATTCAGAATGCCCAATGATTAGAAATCTTGTCCTCCACCAACTAACCAATCTAAGCAACAGAGGACAGGCTACCTTAAATGACCTCCCCTGATAATGAGATTAATGACTGTCTTATATACCATCCTTTAGCCTTCATCCAGCAGCTTGTGGAAGTAGAAGCAGACACCCACAGCTAACCACTGAACTGAACTGGAATCCAGTTGCAGAGAAGAATGAGTGATGAGCAAAGGGGTCAAAACCAGGCTGGTGAAACCCACAGAAACAGCTGACCTGAACAACGGGGAGCTCTTGGTCCCCAGACTGATAGCTGGGATACCAGCATGGGACTGATCCAGACCCCAGGAATGTGGGTTTCAGAGAGGAGACCTCAGAAATCTACGGGACCTCCTGTAGTATTCAGTACTTATCCCTAGCATAGGTGTGGACTTTGGGAGCCCATTCCACATAGAGGAATACTCCCTGAGCCAAGACACACGGGAGTGGGCCTAGGACCTATCCCAAAGGATATGATAGACTCTGATGACCCACCACCATGGAAAGCCTCACACTCCAGGGGGAGCAGAAAGGATATGTGATAGGTAGGGTTTTAGTTAGGAGGGATGGTAGGGAGGAGGGAGAGGGAACCAGTAGCTACATGTAAAACAATCTTGTTTCTAATTCAGATGAAAAAACAATGAAGTTTTCCAGAAAATTGGAAGCATGCATCTAATATTAAAGAACAACAAAAAAGAAATCTTGTCCTCACTGAAAATTCCAAGTCCTTGTTTTCACAACTTTCTCTGTCATTAATACAGTGCATCATGATGGCATAAAAATGGTTGTGTTGGACAGGTGAGACAGCTTAGTGAGTAAAGTGTTTGTTGAACAAGTACAAAGACCCAAGTTCAGATCCCCAGAACTCACATAAAATGTCAGTCACAGTGATGCATGTCTTTAATTTCAGGGCTAAGAAAGTGAAGTCAGAAATATTCCGGGGGGCCTGCTGGCTAACTTGCCTAGCCAATCACTCAGCTCTAAGTTCAGTGAGAGACTACGCCACCAAAATAAGGTGGACAGCAATTGAGGAAGACACCAAATTTGACTTCTAGCCCCCAACATGTACTCATGCACCTACAAACATTCACATACACAAGAATGTGTACTGTGCACACATACATACGCAAAAGAGTACAGTTGTGTTGATGAAATGAAAGTTAGCAAAAACGTGGTACCCGGTACCATCAACCCTGTGCCATCCATGAACACAGTTCCAGTGTTCTATACACCTGTGTCCCTGACACTCAGGACCTGCAAACAGTTGTATGTTTGCACCAGATGGAACGTCCATTGTGGCAGCACCAGGTGCCACAGCCTGACAGAGGATGGTTCTATGCTAGGTCCTACTGTAGCTATAGCTCCCTGGGATTATAGTCTTAGGGAAGACACCTGTCTTTGCCTCCTGGCAGAAGTTGAACTCTAATTTAGAATGATAGTGCTCTGGGACCTGAGACCATAAGCACCAGAGTGTCTCCCCCACATCAGAACTGCCATCTGCTACTCATAACAGAAACTCACCCACTGTGCCAGGAGCCTGAGGCTTCCAGAAGCCAAGGCCCAATGCAGCTCCAGATATGAGGAAGTCGAGGATCCTCCAACTAAGGTCACAGTGGCTGCAGTTACTAAGTCCAGAACTAGGCAGGACAGCGATGGTAGGGAGGAGGGAGAGGGAACCAGTAGCTACATGTAAAACAATCTTGTTTCTAATTCAGATGAAAAAACAATGAAGTTTTCCAGAAAATTGGAAGCATGCATCTAATATTAAAGAACAACAAAAAAGAAATCTTGTCCTCACTGAAAATTCCAAGTCCTTGTTTTCACAACTTTCTCTGTCATTAATACAGTGCATCATGATGGCATAAAAATGGTTGTGTTGGACAGGTGGAGACAGCTTAGTGAGTAAAGTATTTGTTGAACCAGTACAAAGACCCAAGTTCAGATCCCCAGAACTCACATAAAATGTCAGTCACAGTGATGCATGTCTTTAATTTCAGGGCTAGGAAAGTGAAGTCAGAAATATTCCGGGGGACCTGCTGGCTAACTTGCCTAGCCAATCACTCAGCTCTAAGTTCAGTGAGAGACTACGCCACCAAAATAAGGTGGACAGCAATTGAGGAAGACACCAAATTTGACTTCTAGCCCCCAACATGTACTCATGCACCTACAAACATTCACATACACAAGAATGTGTACTGTGCACACATACATACGCAAAAGAGTACAGTTGTGTTGATGAAATGAAAGTTAGCAAAAACGTGGTACCCGGTACCATCAACCCTGTGCCATCCATGAACACAGTTCCAGTGTTCTATACACCTGTGTCCCTGACACTCAGGACCTGCAAACAGTTGTATGTACTCACCAGATGGAACGTCCATTGTGGCAGCACCAGGTGCCACAGCCTGACAGAGGATGGTTCTATGCTAGGTCCTACTGTAGCTATAGCTCCCCGGGATTATAGTCTTAGGGAAGACACCTGTCTTTGCCTCCTGGCAGAAGTTGAACTCTAATTTAGAATGATAGTGCTCTGGGACCTGAGACCATAAGCACCAGAGTGTCTCCCCCACATCAGAACTGCCATCTGCTACTCATAACAGAAACTCACCCACTGTGCCAGGAGCCTGAGGCTTCCAGAAGCCAAGGCCCAATGCAGCTCCAGATATGAGGAAGTCGAGGATCCTCCAACTAAGGTCACAGTGGCTGCAGTTACTAAGTCCAGAACTAGGCAGGACAGCAAGAACCTTTCTCAAAAAGAAGCTCTGTCTGAACACCTGAGTTCTTCTAAGATCAGTATATCATGAATTACATTAGTAATTTTATTCCCAAGTCTGAATACTTGTCCTATACATAGCTGTCAGGGATGCATAACTCCCAATGAAACATGCCTGCCTACAAGGTAGCCACACAAGAAAGTTCATACTATGAGGTTGGTATAAAAACTAATGAACAACTGAGTAAACACATATAATGTCACCATTTCAAACATGGCACATATGTCTACTTACTGGTGAGCATTTATGAGCAATTGAATGTCAGGGAGGAAACACAACAGTGCTGGGAATAAAGGTGTGCACCACCACTGGCCAGGTCATTCTCAGATCTTGAGAGAGATTGAATTCAACAGAATGATTTCTTTGGTGGTATAAAATTT